TTCAGAGCGTCCAACGCGCGCACGGCCTTCGCTCGCGATTTACATGACGACCTTGAAGGTTGGTCTGAGCGATGTGGTGAGGGGGAAAGAGCATGCCTTTCCAAAGGAAAGCTCAACTGATGTAGTAGCACAATGGGGTGAGGCCAACGCTACTAGAACAACTTCGTTTGGAAACTGCCAAAGAGCCTGCTTTAGAAAAGTGGCTATGATCCGTACTCGAGAACCAAACTAATGGCGATTGCAATGCCGCCATTTCTCCCGCAGAGGGCACTCCAAGATCTGGACAGCTGCACAAATTGGTTTAGGTGGAGTTGCGCGAGGGCCTGTGGGCACCTTCTTGGAGTGCTACTTTGCAGTAGCTATTAAAATCAACTTTCGGGTTTTGACTCATTGCTACGGGGCGGCGCCGTTATCATATTTAGTTTGGTCTCGGTGGACGAGAGCAGTCCGGTTTCAAGGGTGTTTCCCAACCGAGTGTTTTAGTAATGTTGGGTGAGGCTCGAGGGAAGAAAAGTTTTTTCCACTTTGGGCAGATGGAGCCACTAAAACTGAATACAGCGCAACTTTGTCCACGATAAAAGGGTTTCGACGCATTTACTCATGTTGCAACGACACAGTATTTATCAAATATAGCATTAAACTGAGCACATAATGGCAAAATCTTCCAAACTTACTACTTTATAACCATTGTGCGTCACGTCTTAGACAAACAATGTAAAAATATAAAACTGCAAATTCTTTCAGAGTTGACATTGTTGCATCGCCCCTTTAGCTGCATAAATCGGCTTGGTAATACATCGCGCTACGATTTACCACAGAAGTGCCCGAAGGGGGTGGAAGCATCGCAAGAAAATTTCAAAGAACAAACCAGAGTAAAAAGTAAAAGAACAATAACCGATTTTCCTTACCCACGGTGCCCGTCTGCTATCCACGCACACTCCGACTGGTGCAACAACCGACAGATGGCGGCAGCGGCCCCGGTGCAAGCTTACCGCCCAATCGTGCCAAAAGCAGACAATGTTTTTGAATAAAAGATGGCGCGTGCTCAAGAAAAAGCATTAACTGGACAGAAAACAAATAAAACTGATGGTTTGTCGAGTGATTTCAGCTATGTGTCTGCCTTTGCCACAATAAGGTGGTAAGCTGACGCTGGAGCCGCCATCTGTCGTTCGTTGCACCAGTCAGAAGGTGCATGGATAGCAGACAGGCACCGTAGATAGGAAAAGTCAGCTAACTTTTTTTCTTTTTTTTTTTCACTTTTTACTAAGGCAAGTTTGTTCTTCGAAAATTTCATGCTATGCTTCCACCCTTTCGGGCACCTCTGCAGTAAATCATGGCGCGATACGTCACCCAGCCAATTTATGCGGTCCCTTTAAGGCTTCATCGGAATCTATAAACACACATGTGGCTTTTTTTATTAACATTTATTTTTCATTATCAAACTTGTAGTGGCCCGTCGGGAACAAGCTGTACTGCCCGCGGATTATAACATTTGTTGCCATGTTTTCAGTGTTGCCAGTAGAGCATCTCTGACTATATATCTGTTGAATTAATTTAAGCTTTTATTGAAAATATACAAATATTGCTTAAAACATGCATTTTTAAAGATATTAATGTTTAACAAGATCAAACAAAATAGTCGAGTTAAATATTAAAAGAATTGTCAGGTAAACTTGAAAGTTATAGCTTTGTTGCCTGCGGGCAACACCAGGCAAAAGTTTGAAGGTGGCTGCCTCGTGCAACCTCTATGGATCACTATAAAATGTCAATAATATCTGCACAAACATACGATAGCCTCAAGCAAAGAGGTCACTCATCATAAAATATTAGTGGCAAGAGAAGAATTTATATTTTTCGCCATTCCACTGTTTTTGGTTGCCGCGTATTTGTGCGCTGAACTTGTTTTTTCTCGTCAACTGTTCACACTTCTTTTCACTAGATGGTGCTGTAGTATCGATCTTTAAGACTGTTGAAAAACTACTAGATTAAAAATACATATTAAAATTAAAACTATTAAACAAAAAAATTTATGAAGTGGTTTGTTTTCTGTAGGCAACATTCGTCAACATAGGGTTAAGGCATATCAGTGACTATCAAAATGTGCATCCATAATTTAGTAGGTCTCGCACTGCAAGAGCGTTTGTGCAAACTAGAACTCGCTTCTGCAGCCTTCATTGCAGTTCACTCCAACTTGGAGCAAACGACACGGCTATTCTATACGCAGTCTCATCCTAGCCCCTTTACTCCTGCAAGTCAGGCACTCGGATGTTGACGGGAGCACTTTGTTACCTTCCACACATTCCCATTGACTGACATATGAAACTAGTGGTTGCGAAAGGTCTCTCGCCAAGCTGAAGAAATTATGATGAGAAAATGGGGTCTGTTTTTTCATAGCAGACACCATCTCTATGCATTCCCAAGCTTCTTTGTCCACCATCATCTCATTCAAAGTTTCCGAAAGTCGCTCATACCTTTTGAGTAACATAATGCTCCGAAACCGTCTGCTCCGAAGCGTTGGTGCTACATTTCAGTGCAGATTGAGCGTTCAGTAATGTTTAGTTTTGTAATGAGAAAAAACATGGCTCTCATTTCTCCTGAACAACCCCTATGTTTGTTTTTTCTCACATGCAATATTTTCTATGTGAATGAAGTTACTGCCAAGTGATAGGCACAGCAACAGCGTTACTTGCAAGCAGCTCCTTAGAAACTTAGCATCATTCTTTATCCCGAGCAATCATGCCTCAAAATTAGGCATAGCCGAATAGAGGATTTTAGGTCCGAATCGAATTCGAAGCGAATAGTGATTTTGGCCGAATAATTTTGAATCGAATGGTTTGAATAGTACAAGCAACAAATACCACTAGATATGTTTAAACTATAGTTTCATATTTGCCTTTATTTGGCATTAGAAGTACTGTAATTGTTAATTTTAAGTGTATTGAATTCGGGAGCCCGAAATGGTCGAAAGCTTGTGCCACCTGGCCGGAAATCCAAGCCAGAGTAAGTCAAACCCGTTTATATTGAACTCGCAAAAAAAGTCTACCAGTTCGATATAACGGGTAATTCAATATAAAAGTTTTAATGAATTCGAGTCTCAAAAATACACTTCCTGCTGAAATACTTCACAATGAAGTAGTCTTGCATCTCCTGCTTTTTCTTCATTGCATCGCGAAAACAATATTTTTCTACGCTATCGACGGACTGCAAAGTGCTGAGGCCGCTGCCTTCCATATTCGCGCATTAGCGCTGAACTATGACGAGAGCACGGAGCACGTCCGAGCAGGAGCACCTTCCCCTGCAGAGCGCCGTTTTGCTCTGCAAGTTGGCTTTCCCCTAAAAGAGGTGGCTGCGTTGGGGAAAACAAACTAGCAGAACAAGCTGGCTTTTTTTTTTTTTTTTTTTCTTGGGCGTTTGCATTAATTGTTTGGAAGAAAAAATAATATTCTCTTTTGCGGACCGAGTGGGGAGAGGGAGCTCCCTCCGCAAAAGATTTTTTTTTCTTTTCTTCCCAGCAATTGACGCGGCCACCGCCCCCCCCCCCACCCCCCACCTCCCCCCTCCAAAAAAAAAAAAAAAAAAAGGCAGCTTGCAGAGCAAAACGGCGCTCTTGACAGTTCGACCATAGTCTTTGCTATATATTATCACTGTAACATTACTGTGCACAAAAATTGTTCGATATAAGGAATAATTCGATATAAAGGGGTTCAATATAGTCGGGTTTGACTGTATTTAGAAACGTCGAAGAATTCTATATTGTCGAATAATTCAATATTGTCGAATAATTCAATATTGTCGAATACTTAAATTCAATTCGAAGCGAATGCCGAATAGAAGAGAATTCGACTGGCTATTCGTAATAACCGAACATTCGCCCATCCCTACTCAAAATGTTTACTTGCAAAGTATAGCCATTAATTGCAAACATTTAAGAAATTGTTCAGTAAAGTCTAGATTATTTCCTTTTTAATTGAGCAATGAAAATACTTCCAACTTGGGGCAAGTTTTATAACATGTTCAAAATGAAACATCTTAATCGGTGCTCTGGCAAAAAAAAGAAAAGACAAATTAGGAACAGTGACTAAATGTTGGTGAAGAGTGTACCAGTATTCCTTGCTAATTTATTAGCAACTTCAGTTTACTTCCCCCCCAAAAGAAATGGAATCTCACTTTCGTACCGCCCTTTGCCAGCTCGTTTGCGTATCTCGTCTCTTCAACTGCCTATTACTCATAACGTGTTTAATTAAGGCTCTTCTACAGTTTACATTCAAAATACAGAGGTGTCTTCTTTAGGAAAGCATGAATTTGCAACTTCACTGTTGGCTTGCGTAGACAATTTCAGAACGACTGTAAAGAATGATGCCAGCCACAATTTGCTCACACACATTGGCAGCAGAAAATGAACACACTGTTACTAACTCATCACTTACATAGAACCTGAAGTGAATTATGCTGTCACTCAAGTCAGTTCATTAGAGATGTAAAAAAAAAAGAAAATAACAGCAATAAAATAAAAAGATGTTTGCTACTACAGTGATCTCATTAATATGGAGACATCCGTTCCCCCAGAAAAGCGTCCATAATAATGAGACAAGATGCACGTATTGACCCAGTTTGTCCCCGAAAATTTGGTCCATGCAGCGAGGTATCCATATGAACGAGGTCCGTATTAAAGAGAAATAATTGTACCGGTACGCAACCTCGCCGCACACGTGGAAATCAGCCATAGCGGCGCCCGGTGGATTTTTCGGTTCCTAAGCAGGGGGGGGCACATAATATTTCTAGGCACTCCCGTAGGGGCGGGGAGGGTTGACCCAGTCTAGAGAGGAGGTCGTGGACAAACCATGGCACTTGGAGGCAGTTGCTGCGTGTGAAAGGACCGTGTTGCGGGAGCTGCAATGACGCCCAGAAAAAGCTTTTCCTTTGAAGCGGGCTCAAGGTGACCCTAAAGAAGGGTTTCCGCTTTGCCCGGAGCAAAAAAAGAAGGCTGCCCCAATGCTCACTCTTGGCTAGGGCGTCGGCCAGCTTCTCCTCTGCGGCGTTCAGGTTGTTCACGTAGGCGGCGTGGTGCTTCTGGTGGTGCACCCGCATCAGGTCCCCCGAGATCACGGGCTCCAGGGCCCCGTAGTCGTACGGCAGGTCCGGCAATGTGTGCTTGGCCCGGCTCGTTGTGGCTCGGCCCACTAGGCTGCGGTACACGCTCGCTTTGACGCCACACGTCCGGACAGAGGATTTCGGCTGCTGCCCGTGCCCCGATACATGGCGTGGCATCGTTACACCAATGGCGAGTCCTAGTCGTTGAGGCCCCAGATTGGCCTCAGTGACATAGTCGGGAATTTATTTTAGGGGGACTGGAATGTGCTATTGTGCCATGAACTGGCGCGGGGGAGGGGTCGTCATGTGTATACTCTAGGGTCAGCTGCCTTTTGAGGGAGGCTTCAGCTCCATAAGCTCTCTCCCTGCAGCCACGCCACCGTCTCGCTGGTTCAAGCTGAACCCCTATTGGTACCCAACTGATCTCCAGCTGAAACCTTCTTGTCCCAGTTAGAACCAGGTAAGCTATTCCAACTGATCCCAGTTAGAAAATTATCGCCCGAGTAACTCGAGAACATGGCACCGCGTCAGACCGCGTGGGGCCATGGAATTGCGTGAGGTAACTTTCGACGTGGCATTTTTTACCAGCCGTCACTCGAAAGAGTCGGGAACCGCTAACGCTGTGAAAGTTGCTACCACGGGCCCTTTTAGGATTTTTCGCATGGCTATAGTTTGTTAAACCGAGGACGGCTGCAAAGTCTACATGGGACACGCAGCCACGGCAAGTGCGAGCGATTACTCTTGGTGCGATATCTTGGTAGCCGTCTCTCATACAAGCTACTGGCACTCGTTTGCAAAGGTGAGAACGAGATATCCTTTTCTATTGGTCTTTAATTCTGATAATTGGGAAGGATGGCGCAGCGGTTAACTCCGTGCCACGCCAAGAGACTACGGGATGTCGCTCACCTGCGCAAGGCGATGTTTGTTGCACGAAGCCCGAACATAATTGCGATTTAAACGATTTAAACCTGCGGGGAGCAGAATTAGTGTGAGAAACCGCGAGAGCAGTGTGTTTACGCCTTTACGCCTTCACCTTCAAGCGCTTCAAGCGGCTGATACGAGCACGATACGAGGATACGAGACGTCCAACTGCTTGGATGGATGGATGTTAATGGCTATTCCCTTTGTAACGGGCGGTAGCTTGCGCCACCTAGCCTAAGTCTAAAAAGACAAAAACATGATTCCTCCCGCCCTTTTAAGACCAATTTTTCTCCCCTAACTATCACCAGGCAGTGTAGGATATCACCAGGATGACCTTCGGGGGATCGGGCAAAAAAACTAAAAAACATCACCCCCCTGCCTCTTCCCCCCGGCGAGGGAGTCGCCAATTTTCCTCTGGTCAAACCATAGAGATCATATACTAAATCTAGAGGAAAAGGTCCGCCATTTTCCCATACATTCTGGCTGCCGCAAGCGGCGCACCATGCAGGCAGACCCCCTGGGTCCTAGAGCACTATATAGCTCCTTCGGAGCAGAGTAGCGCAATCTAGAACGCCGCCTCTCGGCGACTAGCGGCGAACGCCCGGAGGTTCCAACTGCGGTCAGAAATGCATGGAGAACGTGAGAAAATCGTTGTTTCTTCAGTGTTGTGGGAACGTACGGCATCGCAATCATTTTTGACATAATAATGGAACACTTTAGAATAATTTGCGCTAAGTTTTGTGCCCCGCAAGGACCTGACTTTTTTTAAAAAATTGCCTGAGCGGCATCATGCAGCAGACGACACGGCGACGTCACACCATTCACGTGACCCGCTCCGGCCAACCCGAAAAGCCCATCTCCGCTGCGAGCAAAAATCGTCTGCTTCAAACCCTTCAAACGCCATTGCCTTGGAAATTGCCTTCTCAAACTTTGCACACGTATCCGATATTGTTAAAACTTTGATAAAGTGTTTAGTGCTTTACTAACTTCACGACAGACTAGTTTTGAAAAGTGTGAACTCGCCGTTCATTTTTTAATCAGCCGTGTTGTGTCGATCTCCATGTATTCTCCCATAGGGCAAGCCGCCTCCTGGAACCCTGAGTACCACGTGACTCGCGCCGAGCCGCTCTGTCGGCCATCTTGTCGGCAAAACATGGAGTTCAAAGGATTGCGCTACTCTGCTCCGTAGGAGCTATATAGTGCTCTACTGGGTCCCAAACACGGTTACATCATCAGAGCAGTTTCGTGAACTTCAACAATCCACGAACTTACCGGTGGAAAGATACTCGCGTTCTTTTCGAAGGTTTCTTTTTGCATAGCGCGCAGATGTACGGCCTCGCGTTAACGCTAAACTAAACCATATACCCGGCTTCGCTGGTGGGGCGCGGCTGGGCGCGGTTGAGGAATACGAAACTGCGTCACCACCAGATTTCCGAGATTTCGACAGAAGGGAAGTTAATGCAGCGTAATGACTTTATTGCATTTTATAAGCGTTAGAATAGCTCAGAATTTAGTTTACAACGTTAAATTATCACTGTTTATATTGCTGAGAGTTTTCACTCTCCGCGTTTACCATGGCAACGTTGCTTTCTTTCTCTCGTGTTCTGTCGCTCTCTTTTGCGATCGTTCACTCGGGACCCAGGATGTCGGCGCACGGGATTTGCCACTCCTCCTCACCCACCTTTACCCCCCTGGGTCAAACCTTTTCGGCGTTACCCCAGCACCGGACTGGGAGACAGGGTTGAGACTTTGGGCCGGAGCCACGCGGGAGGGAGTCCCAATTTTCCTCTGTCCCGCCTGTTCCCAGCTGTGCTAGTTAGTTCTCCATCATTTAATTTTCCCTAGATAATTTCCACCAATCTTCTAATCGTCTCTTTGTCACTGTAATCTTTTTCTCTACCATCCTTCCATCGTCGCCAGTGAAACCCAGGGCCCCGGCCAAATCCGTTACCCCTTCAGGGAGGGCAGGACGAAGCCTCGTGCACTTCAAAACCAAGTGCTCCAGTGTCTCGCTATCATTATGGCAGGCGGCACATAATGTGTCGGTCTCCTGAAATTTAGCCCTATATGTCCTTGTCCTCAAAACTCCCGTTCTTGCCTCGAACAGCAAAGCACTTCCTAGTGAATTGTCAAATAGCTTTTCCTTTCTTATCTCCTGCTTTCGTGACCTGTACACTGCTAAAGCCGATTTCTCCTGCATTCTCCCCTCCCACATTTTCCTCTCCGCCTCTTTCACCTTCTTTTTCACTGACGTAGTCTGTTCAGCCCCATCACCAGTGTGTAGATATTTAAATGTAAGCTTTCGGGTTCGGTTTGTCCATTTTGTGTTTAAACTTTTCATGTATAAATACTTGAATACCTTACGTGCCCACCGCGTATCCTCCATTTCAGTCAACCTTTGTTCAAATTTCAACTTACTAATTGCCTCCCTGCTCTCAAAAGACGACCATCCCATGTCCCCCTGTACTCCCTCATTTGGTGTTTTTCCATGTGCTCCCAGCGCCAATCTGCCAACGCTTCTTTGTCGAATTTCTAGCCCTGATTGAACCTCAGATTTCATGCACAGCACTGCATTGCCAAAAGACAGTCCTGGCACCATCACTCCCTTCCATATACCTCTGACCACTTCATATCTGTTATAGTTCCATAGTGCCTTGAGCTTCATAATAGATGAATTTCTTTTCCCTTTTCTAATTGTATTCTCCTCGTGTTCCTCTAGATATTTCCTTCCTTCATTGAGCCAGACCCCTAGATATTTGTACTTTTCTACGTGTTCTATCACTGTGTCCTGTATCTCCAGGGGTTCCCCCTTCTCATCGTTGAAAACTATTATACCCGACTTGTCCCTACTGAATTTTAGTCCTAAACTGTCCCCTTCCCCGCTGCAAATTCTAATCAGTTCCTGTATTGTCTCACGGCTTTCTGATACGAGTACAATGTCATCTGCATACATTAACCCTGGCAATAGTTGATTTACCTTATGTCCTTCCTCCATGTAATTCAGGTCAAAACCTAGGTTGCACTGTTCTAATCTTTTTTCCATCTCACTGAGGTATATCATAAAGAGCAGGGGAGACAGTGGGCAACCCTGTCTAAGTCCTCTTTTTATTGCTGCTGGTTTTGTAGTTTCGGCTTCCCATTTTATAATCACCCTATTCTCCGTATAAACCCGTTCTAGGAACTTAACCGTGGTTCCCCCTAGGCCATACCCTTTTAGCTGTTCCCAAAGTTTTTCCTGATTCACATTGTCATATGCCCCTTTGATGTCCAAAAATGCTACCCATAATGGCCTTTGGCTTGTCATTGCTATCTCTATGCACTGAGTGATTATGAACAAGTTATCATCTAATCGTCTATCCATCCTGAAACCGTTTTGGAGCTCCCCCAGAATCTGCTTTCTCTCTGCCCATTCTTCCATTCTTCTTTTTACGATTTGCATAGCTAGTCTGTATATTACTGAAGTTACTGTGATTGGTCGGTATGATTTGATACTGTCTTAGTTTCCCCTGCCCTTATATAATAATCTCATTCTGCTCAGTTTCCAGTCACTGGGTACCTCCCCTCCCATAAGTATCTGGTCAATCACCTGCCTTAGTTTCAATTTGCTTGTTTGGCCTAGAACTTTTATCAGTCTCATTGGTATGCCATCTGGACCTGTCGCAGTTCCAGCCGGAACCCTTCCTTCTGCTTTCTCCCATTCCCCTATGGTCGTTTCCTCTCCTTCACTATGATCCTCCTCTTGTGTTGTGTAGATGCTATTATTCCCTATGGCCTGATCTGATTCTAACTCTGAAAATGCTGCTTCGATTGTATGTCTAATGTATTCCCTCGCCTCTTCCCCCTCTTCGGATGGATGGATGGATGGATGCTACTGGCTATACCCTTTGTATCGGGCGGTAGCTTGCGCCACCTAGCCTACGTCGACGGTCAGGCGGGCAGTGTTGCCAACCTATTTTTCGAAAATACCCCACGGCAGCGTCCAGAAAACCCTACATTACCCTACGAATGTTTTTTGTTACCCTACATTTTACCCTACGAGGCAAATCTTTGTTCAAATAATACTATTGCATGGATTATGATGATACAGGGTAATATTAAAACAGTACAAAGCGACAGGGCACGCATGCACGTGCATGCCTGCGTTATTCTAGAACACCATGCTTGCATCTTGCATGTGCGCTGTGTAGCATCAGCACAACAGTGATGTACCGAGCGCACAGACATCCCAACCAACATGTTTAGTCGATTTGTCGTGCAATTAAAAACTGGGCTACTTGGAACCAGCACTCGCGGCGTCCGACAAGGCGGCTCATTACAAAAGGAAGCTAATCCGAACGGTATATTAGCTTCTCTGGGTGTACCGCCTAGGGCAAACTAGGCTTTTACACCAGGGGAGGATAGGAAGCCGCGGCTCCTCCGTATTCGCTAAGTATCAGAAGAGCGAATGACATTTTAGCGAACGGCGACATTTGAGCGAATGGTCGTTTTAGCGAATAACGGGGGCGCGCGTTAACCCATCCACCGCGCTGCGTTTTACGCCGCTTCGCGGCGACAGTCTACGGCAACTCATTACAAAAATATGAACTCACTTGGCCCACCCGAAAACGCCGCTTCGCGGCGTCCGACTATTCGCTAAAGTGTCGTTCGATGAAACGTGGGCGTTCGCTAAAACGTCATTCGATCAAGTGAGTGCCTCCCACTGGGAAGACACCTCTTCTGGCTCCAAACTTCCCAAGCGCAACTCCACCTCTCCCACTTGCTTCAGCTCTCCAATACTTTCCAACTTAGGGAGCCTACATGCTCCAACTTGGTGTGTGGTGCTCTCAGTTAGCACGTCTCGCAACTTGGATTCTTTCGTTTTGCACGATGTTGTGGTGTGGCAGCACACGGGTTGTAAAGCTATGCAAAGCTTGCGCCGGCAGCTTTTTTTTTTTTTTTTTTTTGCAATGTTTGCCGTTGAAGAAGCAACGTCTGAAAATACCCTACTTTTGGCGGGAAAATGGCCTGACGGCCCTACAGCCCGTAGAGCCCAACGAGGTCTTAGAGTGATAAACCGGAAGTTCGGAAGTGGCACCCCCCCGGTTGCCGCCATATTTTACGCAAATGTGACCACTCGTCACGTGACCACCCAAGAGCCGTGACGTCACAGGTAAGATGGCAGCGCCCAGAGCTGGCGGATGCGAGTTTGTTCGGTGCGCGGTAGCCGTGATGTGCAGCTGCTTTCCGACGACTTCGGGCTTCTTCGTGCTCGCTGACGCAGGTATAATGTGAAAATATGAAGGAATGAGACTTTATACCGTTTTTGCGCAAGATCGCTCTGGATCATCTGGATATTAACGCCTGTGAGACAGCATCAGCTCTGCATCGCCGTACCGGTGCTTGGATTCCGGGATGTGTCCGAGGATCGATAGAACTTTGAGTGCTTTTAACATGAAATTTTCGCATTCTCTTAGCTTTGTTTGAACGTTGAAATATCTGAGAATCTACGCGAAATGTATACGTCGCGTTAGGGCCTAAGGGAAGTTGTTTCAGCCCTCCGTCACCTAACAACCATAGCAACTTTTAGCGAGGAAGCTCCTGCGATTTTAACCTTTTGTGCTAATCCACGATTCTACATTCGATCGCTTTTCTTTCTTTTTTTTTGTGTGTGTGTGTGAGTGCGAAGTGCACCCTTATTTTCAGCTACGTGGTTGGCGTTTTATTGAGTATGGGGAAGAATAAATCGTTGCAGGCACCTGCTTCAAAGCTATTCGACTTGCTATAAGAACAACTGTTTTGGTGCATGCATAGGTTAACTGCGCATTTTTTCTGTTTTGTAGGATTTATTGCAGCTATACTCTTTTCCATCAAGAGTGCGTTGTATTAGTCGGTCAATTATTTAATTGTTCTAATTACCTGGATAAGATGATTCATATTTGTGTTCATCCCTTGACTGGACAACAGTCTTGTTGAAAAATGTTGACTACCATTCCTTTCGGTCTCTTCAATAGACTCTTTTTAAAAGTGTGGGCTGTCTATACTTCGCATCACCGTAACTTGGAAAAGGCCAACCGCCACAGCCCCCTCGAGCCAATCAGAGAGACGGAGCGAAGGTGTGCGACAAATTTGTGCAGACGAGCACTCTGGTGATATGCTGTCATGTGCCTCTCTCCAATGTGTGTATTGACTCACCGAGACCGTAGCCTTTGCCGTCTGCCAAATTCTGATGAAACAAATTACAGTAGCTACTACTGTAATTACCCCAGGCTTTCATACTTTGGGTATTTGTTCGACAAGAATGTTATGTCCGCCATCCCTGCGAATTCGGCTCGGCACCTATTGGACTCGAATGCTGCATTGGCGTTCGACGTGAACTGGGGCCCATTCGTGTGCTTAGCGCCGAAAAAAATGGTGACGGTTGTGTTGCTTGATAAGGTTCTGCAAAGGGTCTATTGTCTCATACATATAGGAAGTGTCATGCTATATAACAATGCATCAACACATACTATTAAACTATATGCTCAGAGGTGTGTTTGTTTTTTTAATTAACAAGTTACAGCAGTGTGCTTTAATGCTATTATCATGTGTGTAGCTTTAAGTATCCTCTCTGCAATGCCTACGAAGGCCCCTGGAAGGAATAAATTAATAAATAACATTTTCACATCACTGGAGTTGGTTTTCGGATGCACCACATGTTCAGGAAAGGTTGAACGAGCCCCTTGCAAGACGTCTGCCAGTCTGGTATGACCCCTTAATTAATATTGAAGGGTCAGAGAAGAGTGTCCTCGTAAGGTCCAGAGCGTGCAATGGACACGATTCTCGGTGTGTAGACTCTCAAGGCATGAAGGCAAGCGGAAATATGTTTATTTCCACTTGATTAAATAATTATTGATTCTTAGTAAATAGTTCCATAACGAGTTCTTTCTGCGACAGTCTCGTGTCAGGCGTTCAGTCGTAGTACCTGTGGACCTTGTTGTCGGATGACGCTCCTGGCACGTCGGTGTTCAGTTTGGTCGAGTGGCAACTTTGACCGACTGATGCTGTCTTGTAATCATACGTCATGTGCACTGAAGCTGCAGGGCTTGCTTCTAATCCGAAAATTTTCCTGGTAGTTTTCGGCATCAATGTCGCAAGCTCGGGCATGTATTGCTTACGTGACTGTGCCTTTTGCTGCACCGTTGACTTGAAAGCTGGCAACAATTTTTGTTTGCTATCCAAGTCTGGTGATGCTTGCAGTTCACTTTTGAGAGCAACCAACCATTCTATTCCTTCAAGTCACTCAGGGGCATTCTCCATCAAAGTTGGAAATTGTGTGCTTCGTGGAGTGGACACAGGAAATCGGTGTCAGCAAATTTTTAGGTATTGTCCTTGGACGACAACCGACACCAAATCCACTGTCACTGCATCGCCGCTCACCCGCTTTGTCGTGCTTACCTCTTGTTGAGGTGATGGACATGAGGAGCTTTGGGGTAATCAGGAATTCAGAATCTTCGATTCAGCACCTTCGGCATCAGGGACAAAGGTCGCCGAAGGTAATCCTTAATCTCCCGTGGTCGCTCCTCGAGACGTAATCGAAGGTCGTTTGGCACGAACCCTCGCCGACCAATTCATTGGTACGGGCTGCTTTGGTAGATATGGTCGGCTTCATGCAGTGGTAGCAAAGTGGTTTTCGGTCGCACATTTGCATCACCTACGTTTTCCTCGGTGTACTTTGTTGAGCACAGTCCTACACACGATGTCAGGAATGCTTCGGCGTTAGAGTGTCTCATTGAATTGGCATTGAATACTAAGGGGCAGCCGGTGGCGGTCGTCGTGCCATTGTGGCGTAAGTTGCCCTTGGTTTGTCAGATGCCGCTTCGCTCGCAGAAGTCTCGGTTGAAATACCTGTCAAACTTGTTCCGAAACAATCTCGGCAATCAAAATAAAAGCCGAGCAACTGATGGCAGGAAGTAGCTTCCTGATCTCCTCCCAGACAACGTTGTGGGTGATGTCGTGGATGCCTGGGAGGCTGGTGTCGAAGTAGTAGCTGGACAACTCGAGTGTCGAGACGCCGGGAAGTTGTTCATAGTGGCAGGCTCGGGCATACAGTGCACATTCCATGTTGGAAGCCTCAGTGATATAAACACTTCGACTGTTGTTGGGGGGTTGCGGACAAGGCTGCCGAAGGTGTTGTCCCTCACGTGAGGCGCATGGGATTCTTAGGTTCTTGTCTTCTGTAGCATCAAGGTCGGCGTGGGCGTGGGCGCTCGATCAAGCGCAAAACATCCTCCACGAGTGCGGTGGCGCTCTCATTGGGGCAGTGTCCTGGACAGAATCAAGAATGCGGCTATTTTTCGTTGATGTTGGCTGACGGATGCGCGCTTCAGCTTGATCTTGCAAACTTCCCATGACGTTAAAGAGGATCCATGGTTCTCAGACCAGCGCCGGCAGTTGCTTCCATGAGAAGTATAGGTTCTGCAGGAGCTGGTTGTCTGTGCACCCAATGTGGCGGGCGACACTGTCATATTGTTCAATCCAGTCCTTGACGTCTTCATACAGCTTGCGTGAAAAAGCGTCGGAGTGTGATTTGCGACGGGCATGCAAACAATGGTGGGAGGGGACACGGTTTGCTGCTACAGGTTTGTCATTGTTGGCTTAGTCAGGTTCGGATTTTCTGACAGGAGACTGAATTCCGGTGGTTTTTCCTGGTAGCAGCAACTGGCTCGGATTTCAGGTGCTTCGTGGTGTATTTCCGAGGTTACTCCTTGTGGTACTCGGTCGTCTTGCAGTTGTTCTGCCAGGCTCGGGTCAGGACTTTGCCTACGGCTCGACAGGGGTATAAGACGCAGAATAGTCCGCCAGCCCTGTCCCATTATCGGGTAACTCGACTGAAGAGCCGCCGGGTTCACACAGAGTGAAGGGCTACGGGTAAAGTGCCCAGCACCTCCACCTGAACATACGATTACAGCTGAGCATGACCTGCAGTGTCCCAGAATAGTGAATATTGATAGAAGATAGGACTGGAACAAGGATCCGTGACAGTATAACAAAACTAGCAGAAGAGAATCTATCCTGACCACTGAAGAAGCTGCATTGCTTTAGTGGCATTCTGTCCGAATAAATCCTCTCCTTCGGGGTTTGGCGACTGCCGTGGACGAACTGAACTGAAATGGATGTGGGACCACTTTTCTGGTAATGAGCCACTGCAGACTGTTGCTACAAAGCGGCGTGAGCTGGGTACGTAACACGCTCGGTGAAATGTCCGGACAGCTTGCAATTCGCGTAACGAGTGTGGATGAAACGTTTGTGTTGACGGAACGTGCGACTGACCAGCGGGATCAATACCAACTGCAACACCTGTGCTCCGTGAAAGTGCACTTTTACGCCGGAACAATTTGTAAGCAGCACAGCATCATTCAGCACGGCACGGGAACTACCAGCTTCAAGGCAGCCTTCCGGTGCGCCGCACAACCGAAGTGAGCCCTCGGTCATTTGATCGAAGCTGCACCACGATTGCACACCGCCAAGCACGACTCACGCAATTTCCGTCGCTAAACTGTGTATCCAAATATATTGCACACGCTTCACTGCAAACCTCGAAGATTCCAATGGTCAACGAGAGCACAGAAACGTCGCCTTAAATTTTATCCTAGCGGTATCCGAATCAATCCGAGGTCCGAGCAACGTAGGTCAGATTGTCTCTTCCGTGGCAATATCCCGGTCGGTCACCAGCGAAATGCACACAGTTTCTCCGTATTTTCACGTTATACCTACGTCAAACACTACGCTGAACTCTGAACTCACTTTCGACCGGCCTCATATGACGGCTTCCGCGTCTGAAATCAACTCGCCGAGACGAACGACAACCAACAAAGCATCCGACAAGCTCCGGCCCAGCTGGGGCCAGCCGCTGCATGGGCGCTGCCATCTTTCCTGTGACGTTACGTATTTGGTTTGGTCATGTGACGTGTGGTCAAATTTGCGTACAATGGCAGCCTCCTTATGGGGGTCACTTTCGAGTGCAGACCGGAACCCCGGTTTATCGCTCTAAGCCCCTCTACCTCGTTGCTACAGCCCTACAACATACCAAAATGCCTAAAATACCCTACAAGTAGGGTAATTACCCTACGGTTGGCAACACTGCAGGCGGGTCAGGCACCGGAAACCAGAACGCCGGGAAGTAAACAAACACCGTCAACCTAGTGGACAACCCCGACAACAAAACAGCTTGACAGCTTGTCTCGAGGACTCCGATGTGCTCGTTCTAAACTTTTACTGTTTTACGTGTTACGGTCTTCGCAGCGTTTTTACTGTGACTTTTGTGGTCGACTATGGATTTTATCGTACGGCGAATAACAGGGATTTCCAGGGAATAATCGGGGAAAATCGGTCGTCTTTTTCCTCGTTTTCGTTCCCGAAGAAGGTGAGCTAGCAACACTGGACAAGCGAAGGCCGAAATGGCGGCTCCCTCCTGTGCTGTCGCGAATAGAACTGTTTTAGCGTATTTCTGACGGCACCCTTGGCCCGTGTGCGCTGCTGTTCGACCCAGAGACCTCGCCGCAGCCGGACAGCGCGATCCCTTGACGATCGGACAACTCTTCGGCCCGGACAAGTTGTTCGACGCGGACTGACTGCCGAAGCGCTCTAAGCCTAAAAAGAGGTTTGGCTCGGTGCTTCACTGATTTCGGACCCGTCGTCCAAGTCCTCTTTCACTCGGGTTTGCGGACAGCGCAGTAACGCTCGCTCGCTGGACTGGTTCGGAAGGGACGCAGCGCGCGCATTAGGCGAAATCCCGGCGGCGTGCTTGGAACTGGGACGCTCTCGGCGCCGCTGGGCGCCCCGTTAGTTTACGGCGATCCTCTAGCGACAGCACCAGTGGCTGACGCATCCTACGCCTGTGGCGGCAAACCATTTCCCCTCGGCGGCTCCATGTTCGGCGTGGACGACCACGACTGGCGCTTGGGTCCCCGCTGCCCGCGGCGGCGGTGCGGCGCGAGCACGGCGCGAACTGAGCGGCCGCTGTGATTCGGTTGCCAAGGGAACTGGCGGGCCTCGCCGGCGGAACCCCCCGTGCTCTGTCGGGGGCGCTCGGGCCCCCCGCGTACTTTTCACGAGAGAACTGCTAGGCTGACGTAGGAACTGCCCCGCGTAGGAACTGTACGCCGAGCGCCGTTGGAGTGGTCGCCTCTCCGGTACGGCCGCCTGCCATTCGGGGGGTCTCTGGGAGGCAGATGAGGCCCGCAGCCTGTCCTCTAGGGGCAATACTGCGGTCCCGACGAGGGCCGGAACGTTCCGTAAGCTGCCCTCACTGCGGGGGAGCTCGCTTCAAAGGGCCATGGTTTCCTTGCAGGTTGGCCGAGCTAGCATGGTGGGCTCAGAAGCACAGCCACCGCAGCGGGTGAGCCTTCCTTCCTTGTCCCCGTGCGTCTTGAGGTTCTAACGACCGTACTTTTGTCTGGCTCGACTTGAAGGGGCTGTCAGAGGGTTGTGGGGCAGCTGGCTCCTGTACTTCTCCTTGCATGTGCAAGCCGTTCTGTGCCTGTGCATCGTCCCCAAGTGTGTGCCGGGCCCGCTGACATGTGGCATCCCATTTAAGCACACTGGACTGCGCGCACATTCCACTATTCACATTGCCGTCATGTGACACTCGTGGGTGTTGTTGAGCCATCTAATTGGTTTCTAAATACACTGTTGTCCTTGAGATGCCTACATAGTGTGACATCGTTGCTACTTGGGCAGAACAGACTTTAGCGTTCCTGGTAACTAAGGCTGGTGTCCATTTCTTCATCAATGCATCAGCTTTATCTAGGATGTTGGAAAGCTATACAGACATCAGCATAGCTTCCCTGTTGTTGCGAGTAAAAGTTAGCATAGCAGTTCTAAAGCTACTGTTTCAGCACCACACAAGCAAGTCAACATGTTCCAAAATTAGCCATTGTAGAACCAGGGACCATTGTAAGTCCTGTTCAGGGAGCAATGTTTTCCAACACCTTGACGGTGCAACATCAGCAGCACGGGTTGTCCACGCTCGCACAAAGCAACTGCAAAAACTCAAATTACTGCATTTTGCCATCGTCATCATTATCATTTCAATTTTATTGCACTATTTAGACATATAGTTACATATTAATGAGGTGTTTTTTTTTTTATTTCTTTAGATGGCATTGAGAATACTAACTGATCTTCCTGAAACATTTTAGCCCTGAAAACAGTCTATTTGAAACCAGAACCAAATTAAATCGCATGTTGTCATCATTCGCCCGCACCAGGATGTAGGGAACAATTCACCTGCAACCCCGAAATTGCTGAAGGAAGTTCCCGGTCTGAAGTGGGCCTCAAAGTATGCTTGTCGAGATATTCTCGATCGTGGCAGGAGCACACATTTTTCTGAACCATAGAGCATACATTTCTGATATGACTTGCATTCACACACCCCTAAAAAGTACTTTGGCTTTCTTTTTTTTTTTTTTTTATAGTCTTTAATTGGCCTGAAAATTTTCTAAACACAACAACCATTGCTGAAATAGTAACCCAGGTATTAGGCAACAATGCATTTTTTTTTTCTTGAAGTTATTGAATTTACAGTCTTGGTTCTCACCGTGTTTTTCAAAGTAAAATTCTCTACCTGCAAGGATAAAAAAGTGGCATCAGGGGAAGGCAGGGGTTGACTCTTAGAACTGTAGACATTGTTTCCAACAGATTAGAGGCACTTTCATGGTATCAAATGAATGCTTTGGAAGCTAGCTCCAGCACCTGCGTGCCTCAGCACAAAATAAATGCTCGGTATAATCCACTTTTAGATTGCCCGCTCAACCTGTAAACTTGCCCTCTGATGTCACGGCACTGGAAAGCGTGGCTACATTTGAATGTTGGATTTGACATCATGTTCACTTGCTAATTTCGCAATAACTATTCTGAATTCCGCGATACTATATAGCATATCGGAAAGTTTAAAGGCCGGTGATTTCAGAAATATAGTTAGTTGGGGTAGCGAAAAAAATCGCGGGAGTAGTTCTTTTATACCTGTTTTATGCATAACAGTTTCGTCAAACAGATTGGGCTCAATGTTGCATTGCAGAGAATAAGCTTGAAGTATAAATTGCAACCAATGAGTGTTTCACATCACCTCATTTTGATCTAGGAAAGTTTCTAGTTTTTTTGTAATATGTGCAATGAAAAGCGTCATGAAGACATTGCTGTATTATAAGCTCTTCACACAAAGTAAATGTGCAATTCACTTGTTTGGCACAGTTTTGCCATACTGGGCCAAACATGCTCAGAGTACAAGCATAAAAAAAAAAAAAAAAGCTGATAACGCTTAAAGGGAAGATGGGGCACTTCTGCATTTGCGAAAAAACACTTAAAATGCGTTCATTTGGCCTTTAGAATAACAGATATCACAATTATGTTTGAATGCGACGCGCCAGAGAGCAATCAGAGCAATTTCAAAATAGGACTGAAGCCCCGCCTCCCTAGCCTTGGGCAGCCAAAAGAGCCGTCGATGACGTCACGGACAGCGACTGTCTTTCGCGTTTTTATCGCGTTTAACAATACTTGCGCCGCAAATAGTTTGGGTATTCGGGTTCACGGGATAAAAATACACTAGAAATCACTTTTAACTCATTTTTTTTAAGAAGCTCCGTAGCTTCCCTTTAAGGTATTGCGGCAGTTGCTTCACTGCTAATAAAAAACAAAAAACTGCAATTGCTTTTTCTATAGCTGGTGACAGGTCAAGAATTCAGAAGAAACTCTTTGCACCCCTTTCCACTCTAGCAGGACAAATGCTGGAGAGGAGACAACGTCCTCTGGCTGTGTTGAAGTTCAAAGGGATGGGAGGAGTTTCCCCTGAACTCTTAGCCTGTCACTGCGTATAGATGCAGTGATTACATACTTCTGCGTGGTTCTGCATGTACCAAATTCAATTGTATAGAGGGTTTTTAACAAGCGCTGTTCTTTGAGCAGCCATTGGTCATTTCTGTGCCTTAAGGGGTCATGAAACGAAAATATGCCTGCCGGACCTTAATTTTTTTTTAATTCATTAAGCCACAAAGTCGTTGATTCCCAAGTATTACGGCGAATTATTGCATGTGTATTTTGTAAAAAGCGTTCAGAAATCCGTTTTTTTAACTGCCTGAGACGGATACCTTATGGCAGCATGAGCAACATTGCCTTCAAAGAAGCTAAGTAAAAAGATTGAACAGATATTCAACTATGAATTGGGAGTGATAAAAACATTGAGTTATCTACACCACTTGGTTGCAATACATTTTCGGGTTCAAACACATTCGGGTGTTCTGTCGTTTGGTAACCGTCATAGCCAGGCTGCTTGTCCTGCCGCAGCTCGCATTCGTTGTGGAATGTGATTGTGGAAATTAATTCTGGATTAGAATTATAATAAAACATAGAGCGAAGCAATAACAAAGTATGATCCCAAGAGGATTCGAACCCTGAACTTTGTGAAATCTGCACTCGCGAGGCCTCTGGACTATCAGCACATTCGTTTTGGGCCGTTTATTTTCGAGGGTGTAGTCCTAGGACATATTTTTCCACAAGTGACTTTATGCTCCTGAGTTTGGTCTTTATGGTCTTCCTCAGTAGTAACTTGACATGCCACTCCTTAAGTATGCAAAAGCAATTCATTTCGCTTACCTCCAGCCTTGCTTGTTCTTTTTCCGCAAGCGGGTCAGCCATTTTGTGGTCGAAGTGAGAACATATTTGTGTCTCGTTGTTTGACGATCGTATTGGGATGCGGCTCGACCAACCAAAGTTGCAAACCTGCGGTAGCACTAACAATTAGCACACGGTGTTGGTGTGCGCCACAAAATCTAAAAGTTGACCGCAGTGTAATAGGCGGCGCCAGAGCTCAATACGGTCGGCCGTCTTACAATTCTCGGAGCATAATATCAGACGTCGGATGTTGTCCGTTGACTCGTGTGCGTGACGTCGTTATGGCGCCACTGTTGAAGTGACATCTTCAGCTCTGGCTTGGATTATCAAGTCCAGTCTACATTGCCATCTTGCTCGGACAATAAAATTTTCCTTGTGGTTACTTATCGTGCCATATTTGTAGAACTCGGAAGAAGACCCCCAGAGAACCAAAATCATCTTTTTTATGCTAGTAAATGAATTCCAGCGGTCAAATGACTGAATGTGGGTTATGTAATAAAAAGTATGGATTCCAAATAAACATAGCTCAGACTTTCTGAAAAAAGTGTCACAACCCCTTTAACTTGGTGCAATAAACAAGAGTGATCGAATAGGTCACTTCAAAAGTTAGTATGCCATACGTTTCTGGGAAGCTGGGCGGGGAAGGAAGATGTGTGTCTTTATTCTTGATTAGCCATTGCACCAAATTTGTGGAGCTAGGTTTTGAACTCAAAAGATGCATTGTGAACGACCCGCAATGCCCTGTTCACACAGTGCATTTTTGAGGTACGACAGTGCAGTGAAACTTAGATTGTGTGCTGTGTACTAGTTCATACAGCTAGCTTCTTGTTAGAAAAATGAGTTTCAAATACCTTCAGGCTGAGCCAGAAACCTGAACAGAGGTGCAGTAAACTTGGCTGGCTGAGTTCCACTGCATAGGACACAAGCGCAAAGAGTACTTGAGCAATTATGGCAATTTATGCACCAATTAAAAGGATGACTGCCGATTGGCCGCAAGGATGGTTCATGCGTAGCTCTTTAAACTCGCCGCCACAATTGCACATAGACCGAAGACGTTCTACGTCTGCTCGGCCATGTTTACTTCGAGTTTGGCTCAGATATGTGCTGTGCATGGGGAGGATGCAGGAAAACATTCTCAAGCGAGGAATTTGCGATGGCAGACGGGTGTTAGGGCTTGATCGTCGCAGTGAAGCTTCCTTTTTAAAGCCAATCTCCAGATAGTAGAGGAAGGTCCCTCCCCGAGTTTTCTTAAATATTGCTTTCATGCCTATTGTGAAGTATCTTGTCCCTTAAAGCTCGTACCAAAAGAGCTCCCTTCAATTGATGAGTGAATACTTAAACAAGGAGAAAAATAGATGTTTGTGGCTTATATTTCAGCTTTACTTCTAAGAGGGTTGGACAGCTTTGGCTCAAAAGATATAAACCATTGCAAATGGGAACTACGAGCTCAAAATAGAATTGATAGCTCGTTCCCGAAGTCTTTGTTACTTGTCTAGCGCCTGCCATATAAACACTCGATGGACTTCATATTGACTTTGCCTTCTCTCCCTTCGCAGGTGCAGTTGGCCAAGGAAGACCTGGAGCGGCTCTCGAAGGAGGAGCTACTAGCAAAGTAAGCGGATGTGCTCTGTCATAAAGCGTGCCATTCGCTAAATTGACACTCTTAGGCAGGAGGTGGAAAGGTCATGCCTCTAGCAGTTGCCATGGGGACGACAAACGTAAAATACCCGTTTCTGATGCAGCATTTGGCGGGGATGCGTTTAGTCGGCAGAGCTGCAACGGAACATGAGTCCCAGTGGAATGCTCATGCAACTCTCGTGACCAGTCTGGACCGAGGCAGGCTACATAAATAATTGGCTGCCTCGCTCTTGCTTAGCACCGAGCTGTGGGGTAAACAAGCTGGATAAAGCTCCCGCCGTAGTTCCATCTCCCTGCCAACGGAAATTGTACCTCGAAGAAAAGTGCAGTTTGGCGTCAGTGGGTTCACTAGTTGGCAACCCCTTCAAGGAGAGCAGACCGATTGAAATAAACATCGCTCAATCTGTTTGTTCCCTAAAAACGTGGTTCGACATGCTTCGTCGTGCTGGGTCTCGCTAAAGTTACGTTATTTTGGTGCTGAAAAACTCTCTGGAATGAGGATGCGACGAGGTTGCCACGACCGAACGAGGTCGAAGACGTTTTAGTGATACGAGGTCCAGAAACATGACGAACGAAGGCTCAAACGAAACTTAGAAGACACGGATGGAGCGCTGTAGAATGAAAAGATGCATGGTGCGATCTGAAGTCAAGCGGCTTGGCAAAAAATCTAGGCCATGTCAACCGCAAAGCTGGAGCTTGTACTGGAAGGCTTGTAGAGATCACCGCGTAATTAGAGATCCTGGCTAGAGAACTTGCAGAGCTGGACGTGCTAATTGAGCCTCACATGACGAACGTGAATCTATCTGAAAAAATCCGGTGAATTTAACCGAGGCGTTCGGGAAAGCCGAGGATTTATAACACGGATGCGAGCAAGAATTGGACGTCTACAGATTGGACGGTCTACGGTGGAGACGGTCTACAGCGTCGTTTGTCGGTGGGAACAGCATGGCCTAAAGAGACGTTCAATCGGCCAGCCAGCCCAAACATTGCTGTAAGCAACTTAGGCTGCCAAAGCTTGAGCTTCAGCAACAAGTTGGAGTGGCTGCCCCTCTGGGGACCATTCAGGCAAGCGATACACGAGAAAGAAGCGCTTGCGGGTATGAAAAAATTCCTGTACCTACGGTGGACGTTGAGGGCGAATTCGGCGGTAGCGATGAGCAGCATCCAGTCTACCGAGCAAAAAGAACACCTACACCGTAGAGTTGCCGAAGGATATTTTGGCAAACAAGACTCGTTCAAGAACATCTGACTCGGCTCCCAAATCTTCCACTCATGAAAACACAGCGATGTCAGCTTCTTCCGTCGCATACCCGGGATTATCGCCGGATTGAAAACCCTCGGGGTGTCGGCAGTGACAGCTACGGCGCGATGCTGCGTGCTGTTTTGTTCCATGCGTCGCCCGCGAACTGGACGAGTTTCAGGAGACGTGGTGTGAGCGAAAGAGGGCATCTGACAACTCGACTCTGGAGGCTATCTTGCGTTCGCTCCGTCTGGAGCTTTAGAGCCGAGAGAAGGTGTGCAACGGCAGCGCTCAAGACCAACCTCAAGAACCGAGTAGTCGTGGCACCAAAGAGCGTGAATCTCTCTACAGTGATGCTGTGGACAGACTCCATGATTGCTCTCACTGGGACCAGCTGCAGGGTGAAAGCCTTTTGTGCAAACCGTGTTATGGATATCCAGCAGAAGACAACCGAGTAACTAGACACTGTCCGGGAGTCGACGACCCAACGGATCCTCCTTTCCCGAGGTGTCCCTCCAAGTTCACTACAGACGGTGGTGGAGGGGACCAATGTGGCCGGCACAGTTCCCAGCAAGCTGGTCTTCTGCACTTGTTGGCTCACCGAATCTAAGGCGGACAATGAAATAAAGGCTTCAGCCGTGACGGTGAGTCGCACCACCGTGGACACCCCCATGCCCATTGTAGCGAGCTGAACCTCCTCCAGCAAGTAACTGCCTGGATGCTGTGCTTTGTGAGTCATTGCAGACACAACAAAGAGAAGCGAGAGGGCCCACTCGGCACTGAAGAGGTCCAAGAAGCGCGCCTTAGGTTGCTGCTTCAGGTTCGGCGAGAAGCCTTTGGAAGTGAACTCAACCAACTCAAAAGAGACAAATGCCTCGGTGGCTTTTTAGAGCAGCACAGCCTCAATGTATTCCTGGACAACGAAGGGCTGCTGCGATTGCGAGAACCCCGGCAGCACGCGGGCCTTGGTTATGAGACTGCACGTCCAGTTGTCTTGCCCTCTGAACATCATTTGTGGAATTGCTGAGCCAAAATGTACACAGACGACTGCTGCACGAAAGAGGTCAGGAGACTAACTCCTTTGTACGAGACAATCCGGATTGTTCGAGCCCGACGGGCAGTAAAGAGGGTCTTGGGCCATTGCCCGAGTTGCCGAAGAAAAAATAGCGGGGTGCAACTGAGCCGGTCACACCACTACCGCAAGACAGAGTGCTGGAAGCAGCTCCTTTTGCATTCACGGGTCTGGACTTTGCCGGACCTGTCCTCGCCAGACACAAAGGCAAGGCGCACAGGACGTACATGCCACTCCTGATCTGTGCAGGCACAAGGGCAGTGCATCTAGAAGTGGTGAATGACATGTCTACAAGGAGTTTCCTGCTAGCCTTTCTTCGCTTTGTGGCAAGGTGTGGACTCTGCCACATGATCTACTCTGGTAACTTTGAGAATTTTCATGGAGCTTTGGCGATTCGCTAAAGATGGGGAAAACAATGCGTGCCCAGGAAGCATTCTACCTTTCTCGCAGAGACATCAAATGGAAGTTCATTGTGGACAAGCAGCCTGATAGGGCGTATTTTGGGATCGCATGGTGTTTGGTAAAAAAAAAAACACCAAAGAAGGTCCTCGGATGCAGTTATGTGACATTCGAAGAGCTCGGCACGATTTTGCGATTGTTGACCTACGTTGCCGCCGACTTGGAGAAACGGGACCTGCTCACACCAGCCCACTTTCTCGTTGGCAAGTTCCTAATTTCCCTGCCGACTCGTGGAGGAGAGCCTTCCGTCGCCTCATCTAGCGAGCCGACTTGTTGTTGGAGGCACCGCGAGAGGTTGTCGACGTCACTCTGGAAGCTGACGAAAAGGATATCTGTGCACACCAAGGTCCTTTCACCACACCACTCTGGCAACATCGAGCAGCCTGCGGGTAAATGACTTGGTGATACTACTTGACGACTTGCATCCACGGCAAACATAGAAAACTGGCCGCATGGTCTAAGTATTCCCGGGACGTGGCGGTAACATCCGGTCATGCATGGTTTGTCTGCCAGGAAAAAGCACGGTTCGGCGGCCTGTACAGATACTGCATCAACTGGAATGAAGAATTAGCTACTCATTCAACAAGGAGTGTGAAAAAACTTGCAGAGTTTGGCGTCAACGTGTTCACTAGTTGGCAACCTTGGTTACATCCTTCGAGGAGAGCGGACCAATCGAAATAAATGCCCTTTGTGTTGTTCGCTAAAAACGTGTTCTGATATGCTTTGTCATGCTGGGCCTTGCTAAAGTTATACCTATGGTCCAGATGTGACAGTCATTGTTTGAGGAGAAAGTTGCAGCAAGGTTTTAGTTTGTTTGGCTTACCTCATTTTGTCATAAATGTTGGATTTCGCCATAGTGTGCTGCACGTCTGGTGCACATTGTCGAAAAGCTATCTCGTTTAAGTGGTGTGTTTTGAGAGATTGGTGTGTCTTCCTTCAGGTGGCAGGAGCAGAACAGCTACCTGGACTACCTTGAGAGCAAGGCGGGCAGCTCGGCGGCTGACAACCGTAAGTGCCTGGCAGCTGTGGCCAGTTGCTCGCCGTTGGGTTTGATCGGGTGCCTGACTTGTTCCCGAATAGTCCTATACTGCTAAATTACCCAGGCATCAAGGAGAATGCTGGGAACGTAGTTCTACGCACCGCATGCGCTCGGCTTCCCCGAACAAAAGAACAAAAAAATAAGGTGTTGACGAATGCACGTGCAAGATGCCATCTGTTTGAGGCTTTTGGTTGAGAACAGTTGCTGCTGCCAGCACGTGCGGCACTTAGACCTACCTTCCCATTACTCTCCTTGATGTTTGGGTGATTTAGCAAAAGGTCGGCACGAGAGCATTGGGGGGGCAGATGATGGTTGTGTGTCCAAGCCTAACCAGTGTTTATTTCTGGTTCCTTTGCATCCCTTTCTTTGCCAAAAGACAGAGTGCATGTAATAAAGGGAGAGTTCTTCCATTTTGGCTGGCACGGCGGGGTATTGATGCGGACATTGGTGGTCCCGGTGGTGCTCGTATTGCTCTGGGTCACGGAAAAGAATAATTTCGAGGGATCCGTGCAGACGCTTTTATTTTCCTAACTAACTTGCTTGTGGAGCAATAGGACACATCAAGCACCGAGGAGCATGCTGCGAATGTAGTTGCATGCGCTGGCGTCTGCAGCAGTAACTCTTCTAAAGCAAATGCCTAAAACAAATGGCATCGTGCACATGCATTCGTCAATTCTTTATTTTGGTGATTTACTTCGGATCTTTTATATAAGGAAGGTGAGCTTGTGTACATACATTCCCAGCATTCTCCTCGATGCTCGAGTAATTTAGCAATACGTCTATTAGTTTTTCTTTCCAAAGAAACAGAGGTTGGTATAATATGGGAAAAGGATGTTAAAATTGGATTTCTTGAATATACATTGTACGTGCAGAAAGCGTATGAACGCCGAAACTTCTACAACTATGTCAAATTAAACGGCAAAACAAAAAAAATCAGAATATACAAAATGTGCTCACAGGGCTATTACATCAGTTGGGCTCTTATAGGTTACGTTCAAATAAAACCTTCTGCAAGCATAAATTTCCTTTCAGTGTCCCTTGAAGTTCACAAAGAGGCAGCAAAACGTCACTTGCCTGGTGTGTGGTTATCTTCTTTCAAACTTAATTTTGCGTGGAAACTTCAACGTCATTTTTTGTATGGAAAGAGTTGAGACATACTCAGAAAAACTTGAAGATCTCATGGCAAAACAAACACACCCAGCATTTTGTTTCCTTTCGGGACTTTTGATGTGAGCATTTATGATTGGCCACGTTCTGCTCCCGTATCTACCCGCCCCCAACAACTGGAAAGCCACGCGATCGGCCTTTGCATTGAAAGGCTGATTGATGTCGTGCTCTTGGACAACTCTTTTGTGGGGGAAGTGGAGGCTACATCGCGCACCATGTTTTGGATCACGGTAATGAAGTTTCAAGTTCTGTGTGCTCCACAGAGGGAGACAGTATAGACCACCTACAATGTAACCGCTTATAGTGCAGGACCGGGTACGACGCGGCTTTTTTAAACCACCGGTTCACCTCCCATAGAACTCCATGTAATTACATACCGCTTAAACTGCAGGCGCGCGAAGGGAAATACCGGGTATAGTGCGGTTTCTGGAACAGCGCGCCGATTGCGCCGATTGACTGGCGCAGCCAGCACGCTTCCCTGTTGACACTAGATAACGGCGCTAGCCTGGCTAGCCGCAAGTGGCACTCGTGAGGCAAGGGGGTTGCTCGAAGTCGTGGCTCCAAGAAGCGGAGAGAAGCGAAGAGAGAGGCTTTAGTTGCCATAGCGACGGAGGGACGCGCGTCGCTATGCGTCCCTCTGCTGCGTTGGCGTTGGAAACAACCGCAACGACAGACCAATCGCAGGTCAAGGAGAAGTGTTCGCGCGCGTTGCATGCCGGTCGCGGGCCGGCTTCTATCCGCAAACGTGGCATCGATTATGATCGTTCCGCATAAAAGCGCTATCCTTGACTGTGAATTTTCGTTGTGTGCCGCTATGATAACCCAGCACGTACTAGAAGGGAAGATCCACCTACTCGTGCGGCGATGTCGTGGTGTCACTCTCAAGACGGCAGAAACGCCCGTGTCGTCGTGTTTGTTTACTTCGACTACAGTGGTGCTTTCTAAGCATTTGTGTTTTCGAACATCGCCCGGATTTCTTATTTGGAGCATTTCATGCCTGTGCTAAAGGTGAAGGTATTACTGGCGCGTACCGTATAATGGATGCGAATTTTCACGTGTCTACATCGCCGGAGAAAAGTGATTAAGGTTAGCAATCCTGAACGCTCGCAACGTCCGTTCACAACGAGCGACGCCGTTAAAAGGCTGCGCCAGTCAAAAGTCGCTCATTTCTTTCAAAATTGACACACTTAAAAGAGAAGTGTACTAGTCTGGTGAAATAAAGACTCCTCTTTGTCTAACATAAAATAAATTATTTTACAAAGGTAAGTTGTCTCATGGCATGTGTTTTGGCCTGAAAAATTGATGTTTTGGTTATAACGCGGTACCGCTTATAGTGCGGATTTGCGGGACTCCCGCGACATACGTTATATGCGGTCTACACTGTATCAGCATTGATGAAAGCTAATTTCTGTGGACGGGAGATTTTTGTCAACCTGAAATTGAAGTGAAACTTGCTATCACTCGAAATAAAAACATTTTTGTGCAAACATAAAGCTATAATCGACGAAAAGCATTATTGCACAGAACGTAAGCATGTTTTCACTAAATTGGTTCCTATTGGTCTACTGCATTTACTCGCATAATGAACTCACTTTTTTGTCCGAAAAATGTACACATATTTGGGGGGTGCGTTCATTACGCAGGGTGGAATTTTTGCATTTACACTTTGCACAAATGCCATTTTAGGTGCCGATATGACATGGCAGGATACTGTGGCACGTCTCCATGCACTTGCGGCTGGTATTGGGCATGCCATAGTAACCATGCTGTTTAAGTTGCAAACCTTTTTCGGGCGCTTTCGGCGTGCCTCTTGCCAAAGTTAAAGCGCTTTACGAAGCTCACTCCGCTCGGAGAGCGAAGCGACCGTTCTTAGGTCTAACCACTTTCATGATTTCCAGTGTGAAAGCAGACCACAGACGATGGCGTGTTTGTTGACATCAGTGCATCCGACGGGCGAAGCACGTCGGGGCTGGGCGATTTCTCGACCCCAGCTTCGTTAAGTGTGCGCACCGCTCGGTTTCATTGTGCGGCCGATAGAAGAGCACGTATTGCTATGCTCGGCTTGACTTGGCCTCGCCACTTGGCAGCAAAAGAAAATTGGCTCGGTGGGCCTTGTGGCTAGTGGAGTTGGATGCAGTTTGAGACTCGTGGAGCCGAAAATTGGAGCTGCATTCATTACGCGAGGGGAAAAAAAAGTAAAAATATTGATGCCTGTTGGGGGGGGTGCCTGTTTTATGCCAGTAAACACGGTAAGCTCCGAAGGTCTGTGCACTCCTTTCACATCCACCTGTCCCAGGAATTCAGAACTGTCAGTGACAGATTAAAAACTCTGTGATACTCTGCCTCCAGTGTGAGCTTTTGTGGCACGTGCAGCTAAATCTTGGCGGAAGCCCGCATACTGTAGGCGGAGCTTCGACGAATATAGTGCTCTCTGCACTTGCTGAATCTTCTCTGTTTTGTTCCCTACCTGGCTAGCCCTTCACCCCCATACTGGTCTTCCCTTTCTCTATGGGAGCTGATTAATTCAGGTGGGGGGGTTCTTTCATTCAACTTGATCCCTCTCTGGGGAACACTCCGCTTCCACCACACTTGTTGCGAGGACCTCTTCCGAATTACCCTTGCCTTGCGTGCTGGTAGAAGAACTAAGTCCCAAACTCCTCGTGCTGCATAAGCTGGGAGTGCCTTAATTGTGGTTGGTTGCCTCCTCCAGAGGAGCTGGCCCTCCTGCGTGAGTCTGAGGAGAAGCTGAAGCAGCAGCAGCTGGAGGCCACCCGGCGGGAGAATGTGCTCGTCATGCGCCTCACCACCAAGGAGCAGGAGATGCAGGAGTGTGCCGTGAGTGCCCTTCTCCAGGCTCCTGGGGCTCTAACCTGGACACGTAGGGGAAAAGTGGACGAAAATTCCGGCGGCCGTAATTGGCCGGCACTCCGCTTGACCTGGGTGCCTGCCAGTCACGGCTAGGGGTGTCGCACACTTTTGCCGATCCTGAGGTACGACTGGTTCGGGAAGCCTTCCAACTTTTAGCAAAGTTTGACCGAGTTTGACTGATGTACGGTATTGGCCAAGTTCTGCCCAAAAATTTCAAATTGTTTGGAAACGACCAATTTATAAAGTGGTTCATTTCATACAATAATTACCAATCTTTAGACAGCATAAAATACAATAATTCAGTTCATACAATCATTACCAATCTTCAGACAGTATAAAAGTAAATATGTGCACTTTTAATGCATTAATTAGTTTGTTAACGTCAACGAATGGTGCACTTTTCCTCCACCAAGTGGCATCGGCCCGTTTTCACATGTCTGAGCATCCGCACAAAAGTAGAACTGTTGACAGAACTTTGTGTTGGAAGTTCGAAAAAGTTGAATCTATTCGAACTCTAACCTCAGCAGCTTTGCGACATCCATAATCGCGGCTGTCAAACCCTTTGCCGGCTTTTTTGCGATGTATGGGAATACCATTCCGGGCAGATAGTTGAACAAAAGGGGGGGATCCTTCAAACGTGGGTGTTCACTCGGAATTTCACGGTAGTCTTCTCTTTCATAAACACTCAACTGAATTTTCCTAAAACTTTTTTATGTTTATGTTGGTCTGCTAAGCTCTCCGACTTCTGTAAACAGGTACTCTGGCAATTGCTTAGCTGTCCAAACTGACTGTGTTTTTTGAGCACTTGAGCTTTCTCTTCCTGGCCTGCTATTCAGTATTTAAATTTGAAATAACTGACAAGCCTTTAGACTTTCTGGTGATTTAAAGTGCCACAACTCGCCGGTAGGCAAACTTGCACGTTAAGTAGGAAGTCTGGAAAGAGGAGTACATCTCACATTTCTTCCACGCTGCTGGGCGAATCCTGGAGCGAGCTTCCAGATCGTTTATCTCATGCCATCAGACGTCTTTAGGAACAAGTTCTACTGCCCAGAGAGTGAGCCCACGCCTTCTGCTGGCATCACTTGCTCGCTCTTGCCAGTAAAAACTTTCACTATAACTCGAAAAAAAAATTCAGCCGCGTCGATTGTTGCGTCGAGTCATTTTTGTGACAAATCAGCTACAGTGGAATCTTCATTATACGGCTTTTGCGGGAATGAGCAACGTCATTGTAAATGTATGCAAACTGTCCAGTGCCATAAAAGCGTGGCGTGTCCGCAAACATGAGCATGTGCATTCGGGTGCGAGCAGGAGGAGGAAGGGAGAGCGTTGCCGGAGGGTATTCATTCATTCATTCATTTATCATTTTTTGAGAGCCCCTTAGGGCATTATACAAGGGGGGTCAATAACACAAAGAATCATTGTTTAAAATGAATTGTAGAGGAAGGCAGCAATACAGGTGAATCAAAGAACAACAAAATACAAGTAGTTATCAACATTATGCAATATTATTATTTTTTAATAATAATATTGCATATTGCTTTGACTGTGAACAGTAAAAAGGAAGGGAAAAAAGAATTAGCGGGTCTTTGTAAGTTCAAAGTAATAGATGAGTTCTTCGGCAAATCGATCAGAGTTAGTCTGGCTTACAGCGCTATTGGGTAATTTATTCCAGTCCTTGATTGTCATAGGCAGATATGAATTATAAAATGCCACAGTTGAAGGAAAAATTGGGTGAACTTTGCGGGACTTATCATGGCGGAGAGATATGCTGTGGGGTGCAAGGAAGAGGGATGCTCCACTAGAGGCATTGTTATAGTATAACTTACGAAACAGGGTCACTTGAGAAAGAATGTGCCTGAATGAGAGTGAGTGAAGGTTAGCTTTGATCCTTAGACCTGTTACTCTAGTGAAACAACAGGAGTCTGGTGAACATAGACCTTAAAGCTTGGTTTTGATTTGCCTCTAATTTCAGAATCGGGTAATGCTGCGTTATGTATGATAACTGTTTAATTTCAGGCGAGGCCATTCCGAGGTTGTGCCGAAGATATCCTAATGATGAATTGGCCTTAGACAAAATAAAATTAATGTGAGTCGCCCAAGATAGATCACAGGTTAAATGAACGCCGAAATATTTATAAGATGTACAGGGGTCAATTATTGTGTCGTTGAGTTGATATGAAAAGAGTGATGGGGACTGTGTTCTGGTGAAAGACACTAGTTTTGTTTTATTTACATTAACTGTCATTTGCCATTTTTGACACCATTCTTCTATTATTACTAAGTCAGCCTGTAAGAGTAAATGATCATTATTATTACTTGTTGGTCTGTATAGAGCACAATCATCAGCAAAGAGGCAAATTTCAGATGTTAGGTTAGCAGGAAGGTTGTTAACGTATATTAAAAACTAGGGGTGTGCGAATACTCGAATATACGAATTCGAATCGAATAGAAAGTTCCCAAATAATTCGATTCGCGAATCGAATTCCTAGTATTCGGTCACTCGAATATTCAGTATATTCGGCCAAAGACGCGCGGTCGGCGCAGAGCTGACAAAAAAGCCGTTCTTTCGCCCGATGTAAGCGCCGTGATATTAGACAGACCATGCGAGAAACACCTCTTGGTCCTTAACGCGCAGGTTAGAAAAAAGAAAATTAACGAAAGCCACAAACTTTATAGCACGCAGATTTACTCACGATCGTGACACAATCTTCCCTTGAATCACAACCGAAACATCCCGTTACGCCGCGCCATGCCTAATTTTTTTTCACGAGCACCGATGAAGAACGCACTTGCCGCATTCGCGGAAATCGGCGACTGCAGGATCACACAAAGAAAACTACGTTAACCACGCCGATGAAACCAGCCGAGTTATCGTCGTCGTTCTTTTGGAGACTTTGACGAGCGTGTTGGGACAGATGTAACAGTAAGAAAGCACAAACTTTTGGAGCCGCAAGCCGCAAATTCTGATTCGGAACAAAACGGAACGGAAAAATAGTGTGCCTAGATTTGAGAGGGTTTCCAACCGTTCAATAGCCGCGTCTGAATTACGAACTGCGAGAAGGTGACAAAAAGACGAATGCGTCGATCGGGATCGGGCAGGCAGGGCAGGCGTCGTCGCTCTTTTGTTTGCCCGCCTTCTTTCCACGCGACAACACAACACATGCGCACTTACGACCAACCTGCGCTGGAGCAGTCTTCATAATTTCAGTTTCGCTTGCTCCCTCTTTTAAATCAAGGCTCTCTAAAACAGGATAGATGGACAGAAAAATGGATGCATAACGGCAGTTGGACGGTGACTTGCGCTACCTAACCAAGTTTTGTTTCCTTGCTTCAGATTATATTATTTAAGCCTGTTTACTCAGATTTAACACCTATCTGTTTATTTATGTGAAATAAAATCCCTGGTGTCCTTTTTCTTCCTTAAAATGGAGACCAAATATCGCAAAATGCCCCTATTCTGAGATACACAAATATTTTTTTTAAAAAGTCGCGGTGTTAGGTTGTGCTTTTAACGAGAAAAAAAAAAGGCATGCGTGGCTGTAACTTTTTTTTTTGTGACGTTTAGGGTAGATAGATTATGTTTGCGCCGTGGCCAACGTCCAACAGCAACTGCTTTTATTTTTTTACCAGAACTTTTTGTTACAGTTTTGCTTTTGTTCAGACAAGATGCATATTCTACACCAGGCGCATACTCCGCACATATAATAGTCTCATTTGCAGCACACTTTGAAAAATTCCTACAAATAAAATCACTATTCGATATTCGATTCGATATTCGGCTTTTTTTTCTTGATTCGATTCGCTATTCGATTCAAAAACTACTATTCGGTATTCGCACGCCCCTATTAAAAACAGCTAGGGGCCCAGAACACTCTATTGGGGTACACCGGACGTGACATGAGAAAGAGGTGAATGGGACTCGTTTACAACAGTATATTGCGTACGATCAAATAGGAATTTTTTTATCCAAGTGATTGTTGAATTATGAATATGCAGTTGGGTTACTTTTTGTAGCAGACGTTGGTGGGCCACTTTATTGAATGCTTTAGAAAAATCTTTGAAAATCACATCGGTCTGTAATCTACGATGAAGCTGATGAATGAAATGCTGGGTATCACACGAATATGTCTTACGAAAACCATGTTGATTTTCAAAAAGCAGGTCATAATTTTCCAGATATTTCATGTTAGAAAAGAAAATGACGCGCTCTAGTAATTTACGTACGATACTGGTGAGAGATATTAAGCGATAGTTTGATACAACATTACGATCCCCACTTTTAAGAATAGGGGGATAACTCTACCAATTTTCCAGTTAGACGAAAGCTTGCCAACATCGAGTGACTGTTGAAAAATAAGGGCTAAACATTGGTATGAGATATTTTTTGTGTTTTTCAGCAATTTAGAATTTATTTGCTCATCAACGGGGCTAGCAGAAGTTTTGAGATTTTCTATAGCTTTCACTATACCCAAATATGTTATTTCGGTCGAAGGCATAGCAGAGTGAGAAAGGTGATTTAGGAGAGGAACATTGTCATTGTTTTCTATTGTAAATACTGAGCCAAAGTAAGTAATTATTAGTGAACCACTTTCGCTATCAGATGCGGGAATTCCATTCATATTAGTCAGGTGGATGGATTTATGCTCTTTAGGATGAATGATCTCCCAGAACTTATTAGGCTTATTCTTTAAAATGTTAAGAAGGTCGAAGTTAAACATTTTTTTCTTTACATTTTTCACTTTTCTTTTATATTCCTTAGCAGACGCATTGAAATTAATAATCCGTGCAATAGTACTCTCCTTTTTTTTAGCTTGCTTGAAATGTTGTTTCTTCCTAGCACTTAATTTGAAGATTGTCTCGTTGTACCAAGGCTCTGCATTGTTTGCTTTAATTCTGATAACATATCTGTCAGTCAGAGTTGTTACCTTGTTTTTAATAAGATTCCAATTTTCCTCAACTGTTCTTCGATAAAAGTTTATATGAAAGTATCATAAGACTGTTGAAGATTTTCATTAATTGTATCATAGCTTTATTGTAGTCTTTAATAAATTTATAATGACATGATCTGATGACGACGTCAGACTGCAGGTCTAAGTGTATAACATTGTGGTCACTAATAGCGGGAAGATGAGTGATGTTATTCCCATGTGAGGGGTCAATGATAAGGCACAGGAAGAATGTTGCTAGAGTGATGGCTAACTCTTGTTGGTTTAGCTATCTTTTGGGAGAGGTTACGCGTGAGAGCTAGGTCGATGAACTCATCAAACTGATGACCTGGTGGCAGGGAGTTCCCATTAATATTCGGAAAATTGAAGTCGCCAAATAGGATGACCGACGCATTTGGTTTCACGTTATTAAAGGTGAACGAGAGGGAGTCATGAAGTTTGTTGATGAAACTAGCGTGATGATCGGGTGCTCTGTAACACACACCAATCAAGATATCGGAAGATTGAGAGTGAAGTTGAAGCCCTACTATGTCAAGGTTACCTGGAACATTAACTTGTGATGCACTAATATGATTGTGGGTAGCGATTAGGACACCGCCACCTCTCTTTGGTAGTCTGTTGCATCTGTGTAAGGTACAATTCATATGGGGGGCAACACTTCTGAGTCAACAATTTCGGGTTTCAGCCACGTGTCTGTCAGAATGACGAGGTCGGCAGTGCATGATTCATTTAGTAATAATAGGTCGTCGCGGTTTGTTAAAACACTTCTTATATTTGTAAAAACGACCAAACATGACTTGCTGTTTCTGCGTACTCGAGAGGACTGGGGTGGGCGGTGGCGTGTACACACCTCCTATGTCTTTTTTTCTTCATGTGTATAGTTTTTTGCAGAGTCGAAGCAAAATGTTTTGTTATCAGTGACTAATCTGTTCGAGCGCATCTTGTACTGCTTTCCTTGTTGTTTCACAAACTCAATCAGTTTTCGCCGTGCCTCGCGCACTGCTGGTAAAAAATCCTCGCTGACGGCAAAACCGTTATTTTTTAGTTTGTAACACGCGCTCAAGATACTCTCTTTATGCTTGGTAGAAGAAAGCTGGACAATGATTGGGTGTGTTTTATTATCGTTGAAGCGACCTAGCCTGTTCGCTCTTTCCACGAAACTAGATTGTAGCAAAAGACCTAGGTTGCGAGAGCACATGTCAAGAGCAAGTTTTTCTGATTGGGCCCACGTTTCATTTTGTTTGTTAGCGTGGCCATAGAACTCAAGATTGAAACGTTGCATTCTATTCTCCGTGTCCTCACACCGTGATTCCAAAGTATGAATTTGTTCTGTCATGCTTCTTAATGTGGATGTAGCAGGAATGATGAGGAGGTGGAGAATGCTCTCCCCATGTTCACCTGGTTTTTAGGTTCAGTGGCGGCCTACACGGGGCAAGGGGAGCCAGAGAGAGCCTCGCTGCAATAGGTTCCTTAGGAAATTTTCTTTCGCTGTTGACAAACGACGACAATGAGCTGCAAGCCTGTGCAAGCATAATTCTGAAACCTCCAGACTCTAGTTTTCAGAACCGTGCTTAGACGGGCTTGCAGATCACCGTCATTGTTTGACAACAGCTAAACAAAATTTCCTAAAGAACCAGAAGTTGCCAAACGCGGCTCACCTATTGGCACGTGTGCGTGAGGAACGATGGGGACAGGTAGAGTAAAGCTGTAGAGTGGGCTTTTGCGTTCATACGTGAGAATTTTTTGCCGGGGCACTAACAGCTATTGCTGTAAAAGAAGTGTGTGCGGGCGGAGGTAGAAGGGCGGCGACCGCCCTTGTCGGAAGAGGCGCGGCCGTGACCAGCGGGTCTCCGGTCCTCCCCCTCGGTGCAGCACCAGATCCAGGAGCTGAAGGGGGGCGGTGCGGCGGGCGGCTGGACGCGGCAGCTGCGGGCGGCGCTGCTGGACCCTGCAGTGAACCTGCTCTTCGAGCGGATGAAGCGCGAAGTGGACTCGATGCGCAGCCGGCTGCAGGAGACACAGAACGAACTGAGCGCCTGGAAGTTCACCCCTGACAGGTGCTGCACCCTGGCCTCGGGTATCCTCTTGCGGGGGGCACTCGCTTCTTGACGGCCCCCAGCCCTGGAGCGCTTAGCGGACACAAACAAACTCTGCGCCGGGGGGACTTACGGGGGAGGGGACTGTGCGCCCCTGGCTGTGTCCCTCCACGCCTCCTTTTTCCCCTAAGGGCGGCTGCCACACCTTTAGGTGACCAAAGCTGTTCGGGTGGCCTTTTGCGCTCGGGTACGAGGTACAAAGCGGTAGCTGTCGTCATCACGAAGCGGACGACTGCCCGCGTGGTCATTTGTGGCCTCACCTGGGTTTTGCAATCTAAAGGGCGAATGTTTGAAAACGAGGTTATATCTTGGCTTTAATGGACTCCAAGATTCAAAAGTTAGTTGTTGAGAAATCTGGAATCGCGGGATGCTAAACTCAAATCTATTGGCCCGCGTATAAAAGGGTGGCCTCGTAAAAATTAGGCTGTTTTTTTTTCCTTCTGAGCGTTGTACAGTTAGTTGTCGCAGAAAAGTGGACAACCTGATTTGTTGCTTTTTTTTTTTTTGTATGCCTTAATGCCTAGCTTTAAGTAGAAAGAAAAATGTGTGGGTGCTTCATATGTTAGCTTACTAGTAGCCATTTACAACATGGACCATTTGTTTGTGTGCTGTGCCAATTTGTGTGAAAAGAACAGAGTCGAACACTACTCGATCAGTTCATTATTGCCTCGCAAACCTGTTTACATCTTTCTTGGTTAAATAATAGCTTGCGGAACTTGGGATTGGCAATATCGGAAGCTTTGCTCCCTGTATCGATGGAAGTTTTCAGTTTCCATAAAGTAAACCAGACTATTTATGTGCTTGCACTTTGGATGCCATCCTTGGAACGTGCTGAGCCCATGCAGTCGCAATCAAACGTAACTAGGGCGTGACCGGACATTTTTTGCAGTGGAGCTATCCTGGCAGCAGCTGGTACAACCACTAGGGAATTTGGAGTTTGAAGCTAATAGTTAATTTGGTGGCATATTCTCAAATTGAATACTAGTTGCTGCTCCCTTCTCAGAGTCCTTTACTACCGTTGCACCAAGCTGAAACCCAGCTGAACTCGTCAGGGTTGTTTGGAAGCATCCATTTCTCCACTGCTCGGCTAGTCGAAGGCCTACCAACAGGTGCGAAAGAAAGGACAGGTGGGACACGAAGTTGAACCTAGAGTAATGCCTAGCTCTACTTGGTCCGAGAGATTTAAAAACTCTCGGCATACCTAAACGTCCTTCCTTCGTAACTGAAGAGACAAGCACTGTCCATGATGTTCACGGTTTTTCTGGACATAGCTGCCCCATATGTTCTTGCGAAATAGTTTTGCATCATTATTGCCCGTGATTCTTGCCGCGTGCAGATCAGCCTGTCTAATGGAAAGGGTCCTCCTTTGAGTAACAGAATTCCAATCGGGACATCCGTCTAAAGAGAGCTCATCTCCAGAGAGATGAGCATATTTAAAGTAGGCTCGCTTCGAACAAATTAATTTATATCGTGAAATTGATAATTTCTCGTCGCGTTGCAGAAGAATAGGCTGTTTTATTGAACTCGGGAACTGTCCCTTTCTATCTAGGCCAGAAGAGCTGATTATCCGAAAAACTCTGAATTTGTCGTACCAAGAAATGAAAGCTCCGAGACGTGCCGAATTTCTGGTTATAAGTAAACTTCCCTCCGATTTTGCTAAAAAATGAACTCCAGTAATGGAGAACCATACTTATATGTGCAGCATAAAGACACAAGACAGCAAAAGGGAAAACAGCGCAGTTTGTTTTCTTTATACCAACACCTTTTCTGATCGGTTATGGCGCTCCTCCCACCAGGTTACACCCAATGGAAAAACAGCGTACGGTCCAGTTACGTTTGATAGTGACTACAAATGGAAAGCAAGAACTGTCAAACCTTTGGGTTCATAGCGGGGACGTTGCGCAGCATCTAGGGACCAGGGTCCAGGAGGCGACTCAAAGTTTTTAATAGTTGCCGCTACCTTCTCCTTTGGATGTGAAAAAAGCAAACCGGAGTTTTAGGCTACTGTTTTATAAATGCCACTAACGCAAAAAAAGTGAGGACAATGCATCATTTGGACCTTGTTCTGTATCGCCGCCGCTAAGAGAGCGCACGGCACTTCCTACTCTTCTGGCTTGCGCCTGACGTCATCGCACCGTGCTGGTGGCCATTTCTCCGTGTTCTTGCCGAGAAAAACCTATTTGGTGGTGCAAAGGTAGGCTGCAGCAAGTACACGCTCAGCAGCCAGGCCACCATTATGGCCGCCGATGCGACGCCGGTGCAAGCCACCAACTGCTTAGGCTCCATTTGCTCTTTGTGGCATGAAATGTGGTGGCGCCAGTGAGCCCTCCCACACTTCCGGTTCTCGGCTAGACGCACTATTGGCAAGATCGAACATACGCACCATTTTAGCAGAATGGTCTCTTATGCCACTCTTACACATAATTCACTCTTATGGTGAAAGAAGGATGCGCGAAAATTTAAGAAATATACCCGGACCGGTAGTGTGCCGGGGCTACCGAATAGAGGGCGCCACTGAGTTTGTTAGCAAAGAAAAAAGGGCGAATTAGGTGTTGGTTGTAGTACAGATCACTCCTGCAGGACTAGTGAGTCCCAGGTAGTTTTGGATTCCTGGTGCAAGTCACTTAGACTTACTTGGAAAGCCAAGCTCTCCCATGTGTTACGAGGGGTGATCGATAAGGTTTGCTTCCTATGCTGTCATTTTTTCTATACAGTAATGGAATTGAAAGATGTTGCATTCGGAGGCAAGTTTGGGGCCTCCTTTTTCCCATAAGCACGTAACTTTTCTATATATTTCCCCGCCGGTGGTGATGCAGTTCCGCTACCGGTGTCTCCGCATGCCGTCGGAGATGATTGAGGGGGGCTGTTGACGAGACGGACGTCGCGCCGGAGGAGCGGCAGTTCCAAGATGCTGCGCTTCATTCACCTTACAGCCTTGTGCCCTCAGACCTTGCAATGCACCGTTGGTGTTGTCAACAGCCGCCCTCAATCGTCTACGACGGCATGCAGAATGGTAGCGGAAGTGCATCGCTGCCGATGGGGAAATATATTGAAAAGTTGCGTGCTCCTGGGAGAAAAGGAGATTCCAGACTTTCTTCCGATGGCAACATCTTTGAATTCCATTGCTGAATAAAAAAAGTTATTGATCACCCTCAACCTACTCGAAGGTTCCTCGCAAATTGCCACATTTGTTAGTGTCGGGGAAAAGGAGGTGTTTGGAATGTACCTCATTTTTTTGTTCGCTCTATAAAGAGGGCTTGTGTCGTTGGACTCCCAGTGACTCCATGCCAGGACAATGAATTGATACAATGATTGCCCTAGTGCCGGTGTTTTTACGTAGGAATGTTAAGGTACACTTGGCAAACTTTCCGAGACTTCTCGTAACCTTTGAAATGGCTTTTTTTGCCTGCATTTTGGCATACTGGAGCCCCCCTTGATGTCAATATCTGTTTGGAAAGTCCTGTATTCATGTTTGCTGTTGGTACATTTTTTCTAGCTGTGCGACGCAATATTTTGTACAGCCACGTCGCATTCTTTTTAGTTTGGTCTCGCATTAAGTTGTATGTTTGGTCGAGTCGAAAGAATTGTTGATTCCGAATTTTGTTGCTAAATGGTGTTTGTTATCGAATGGTTCTCTGGACCAAGTGTGGCCTCACTCGATTCCCTTGAAAAGATTTGAGTTGTGCGACATATGTCTTTGGCTCTCCTTTTTGCTTTAATTAATTGGTTATGTGCGACAAGTTTCTAGGGTCCCTGCTTGTGGACGATTGTGTTCGAGTGGAAGTTGTCGGTGGTTTTCAGACTTCTCTTTTTCTGGACAATCATTTTGGGGACCAAGGGTTGTGCACTTTGTTGTTGGACTATGACTTTGGACGGCACTTATGCGAGAGGACTGCCCGGGACTGGTGGTGAAGGATTCTCACGTATCTCGCTATTTGTGGACCATTCAAGAACTTTTTTACAACTACTTCAAAGCTGGTTGTGATAACAATGTTTTTTTTTTTGTACACTATATAATACATGTGCTGTGGCATTTTTTTTAGATGTGTGTCCTGCAGTTGTTTTTCGGACTTTCTTTTCATGTCGTGTGCACAGAGGGGCAAGACACCTGTTTCCTGGCTGGTCTTTTCAAAATCTACATAGATGCTTCCTCTGCACATTAAAATGTTAACAGCAGTAGGGTATTTGTGGCCAGCTTAAAAGCTGTTTTCATAGGTGCCTGTCCACACTTGCCTCTTCCACTTGTTTTGTGGAATGAGCAAGGAAGCTGATTTGAGAGGCTGCTTGAAAATTATGAGACATGACAGAACCCCGAGACTGCAGGAAGCAAAAACGACACAGAGTCTAGAGACTTTGTGTGTCGCTCTTGCTTGCTGCAGTCTCAGGGTTGTGTTATGCCCTGGGATTTTTTAAGCAGCTCATTTGCACCCTGACCTCCTTTATTTAAAATTACAATGTTGCAGAGAGCACATGAAGCAGTTCAGTTGGAAGTCAGCACTGTTGTTTGTCAGTCTCCTTTTGCCCTGCCCTTGTCGTCGCACCATCTGTACTCCCAAGAATGATTGGACTAACTGAAACATCTCTGTTATACTGAATTTGTCATTTACTTGAATGAGCGAAGCATTATTGAATGCTAGAAGTAAATGTCTTTTTATTTATCTTTTTTTTTTTCCTCGGGTGTTTGTGTTTTGCTCGTTTGTGATGAAAATGGTGATTGTTTTGGCCGCAGTTTCCTTTGCACAATGTGCACCTACCTTTCCGATTAATGTTCACTCTGCTCTTGGGGTTGCTTCTAAGTGATAATCTTTGTGGGTAACTAGTGAAAGTACTCTTCCATTTGAAGCTTTCTTTGATGAAACATGAAGGCCTCAATGTAGGTGTGTAGGTAGAACCTATGAAACACAGTCCAAGCCTTTGTTGCTTTATGCAAACCCTGTGGAAATCTTTCGTATTGTGTTTGG